TTAAGTATTAAAAATATGAGAAATTGTCAATTTTTAATAATTTTCAATAGTTTTAAATTTGATTTATTCGTTCTTCATATTTGTTTGGAGTACACTTTTATTGCACTATAAGTTGAGCAAATTTTCCCCTATCCAAAAATTTTACGTATTTTTCCAAAATTGTACCTATTTAAAATTTTAACTTGTTAAAGTACATAATGAGACTTTCTCTTACACTAAAAATCTCCCAGTATATCTACGTTGCCCGCTGAATTTCAGGCAAGCAAAAATTGTTAGCAGTTCTTTTTTCTAAAACATAAATAAGGCAGCTAGATTTTCGAAACGTCAAGAATTTTTTGATATTCGCATAATGATATCTATTTAGTATTGTCTGCATTTTTCAGTGTGACATTTTTGGATAGATAAATCTATTTTCATAAAAATGACCCCTAACTGGTCGTTTTTATGCAAAGATCTATTTAATTAATTTTTTAATTTTTTTCATTGGTGGTAAAATATTTAATAAATAAAGGAAAAGAAACTATGCCACAGATAAATGACTTAAGACAATGTAAATAAGGATATTTCCCACGTGGTACAAAATTTATGGCGGTACACAATTTTTCAAAATAACCATGCTTTGTTTAATATGTATTTACGTGGAAGATATTGACAAGACAACTGAGGAATGGAGGTTATTGAAAAACGGAAACTGATAAGTCTGGATGGAAAACCTGGAAATATCAGGGAATTCTTTTGTTCAAAATTTGGTATAGAAGCAACAGTATTACAGAGGATACAATGTTACATCTACATTTTTTTTACATTCATTTCAGTTAGTGATAGTGGTTTATTTTAAGTGTTTATAGGAGGAGCAATAATCAAACAAATTTATTTACATTTTGTTGTTTTAAATAAAAGTAGTTTTTTTACAGCTTTTTCTAAAACAAAAGTGAATAATTTGTTTACTTCTTGATACAATTGTAATAACTTACATTTGTTTCTTTGAATTGAAATTATTATTATTATTAACATAATAAAGGTAGAGGTAAACACCTATAAAACTCAAAAGCAAAAACAATATGAAGTGAGTTATAACTTCAACTGACTTGTTAGGTTATGCTTGCAGCAAAATGGAAATTATTTCGAGAATATTCTTTAAATTTAATTTTGCATCTTGTTTTTCATTTGTATTAAATTTTATTTCAGATAAATAACTTTACCTAATACATGTCCCATAGTCATAAGTTATCAAACATTGTTCATTAATTAATAGCAAATTATTCTTAATGTTATTATTAAATTGCTAGCTTATTGACAGAAAGTGCCAATTTATTAATATGATAAATAACAATTTATTTGTTGTGACATCCGGCTACTTTATTTTTACAAATTTTCGCAATTACTTTACAATTGATTACAATTTTTTTACTAGAAAACTATCGGTTTTATCGAAAAATTACAAGAGATAAAAAAGTTGCGCAATAAATCAGTGTTCCCAATATATATTTTTAAATAAATAATTTGCTCCATATAAAAAAATTCTAATAAAATATTGCAATGGGGTTGACTGTTCACTCCTTTATAAAATACGCTAATGATCTAAAAAATATTGAAAAGTTGTCTCTTTATTAGCAGAATGCTCATACCAAGTTCGTGTCTCTAGCATTCCCCATGTTAAAGAAATAAATTAAAATGTGAATATCAATCCCCTCCTTTAAGAGGGTATATCGCCTCAGGGGTGCAACTTTCATATAAGGTATTTTTACTTCAATCCTCTTATTTTTCGCTCTACATTCACTGGCGCAATTTTTGTTACTTCATTTAAAAACACCCTGTATACATTTCGAAGCATGTATACAATAAGCATATAATCCCCATTAAAATGAATCATAATTTTTGTTTCTTACGTCATCAAAATCAAAAAGAAAAAGAATAGCATAATACTGTTGCCTCACTTCCACTAGATTCTGATTTAGTATGAGACTTATCCCTTTCGAGGAATCATACTGACACTTTCCTAGTTTTTCTTCACTGCCTTGTACCGTGGGTGGCATTGGCATTGAATAACAAACATAGCCCCTGAATAAACAATTAGTTTACAACTGACTTTATTAGTGCATTGATCGTGGTGTCGTATCGATAACGGCCGCATCGAAATGTGCGATGAATGTTATTTTAAACGCTCGACATTCGGTATCATTTCGAACAACACATAAACCGTCATATCGTGTACGACCGATATACATCATACTCGCCATCATGTTAGGGTTAATTAATAGTAATTATCTGTTATGCGCTCCAACAAAACATCGTTATCGTCTCCACTGCAATAACTGCTCCGATAAGCGTTTTTAAATTCCATTTTAATTGACGTTTCGCTAATTTAAGCCTCACGTAAAGAACAATTAGCTTCAAAGAGACAAGCTGGTTGTGCGGTCCCGCTAGCGTCAATAACTCCATTATTACAAAGCAATATCCCCGTATTCCTTTTTCATTACCATGTTTACAGCTCCTCGGTAATTGATATTTTTTCGATACCGTTGTACCAGTCGTCGCTTACGACTTTTATGTTTGTGTGAATGGAGCGATTGTTCCCCGATGAATGGGATTATTTTATGGGCTAGATTCCGTCAAACGAGATTGTTTTGACATGTGTCGGATTAAGGAAGCCAATGTCTGATGAGCCTTGCATTACTGTAAACAAATGCAGTTAGATCAAGGCCAGCGCATATGAAACATGAAACAACAGACCCAGGACGCCGTTCCGTATCAAAACGTTCCGGTATTTTGTAGGTCTTGGGTTGAGCAACTTAAATGTTGCATTTAACATTGGTCTGGTTTTGGTGGATATTGACACAGTTTTCCTGTTGCAGTGCACTAATGACTTTTGGAGATGCTAGATATGAAAAGCTATATAAATTTTTCTGAAGAACCAGAATTTCGTGTCAGGTTAAACAAATGAATGAAAGGTGTTACAATAATTTATTCGTTTAAATAAATGTAGAAAATAAGTCCGCCCGAGAAACGATGATCAGCGCTCACATGCTTTGCTATGAATTTTCTTGATTTGGCCATCAATGTCCACAACGGGAGATGAACTTCTCATTCCATTGTTTGATCCACGAAAGGCTAATATGCTAATTGAAAAAAACATTACGACGCGATCAATGGATCATTAACTTCATTACGACGAGATCAACGGAGCTCTAACTTCATTACGATGAGATCAACGGATCTCTAATTTCATTGCGATGAGAACAACGGATCTCTAAGTTCATTACAATGAGAGCAGCGGATATTTTTCATTACAATGAGATCAACGGATTTCTAATACGACGAGATCAACGGATCTCCAACTTCATTACGATGAGATCAACGGATATCTAACTTCAGTACGAAGAGATCAACGGATCTCTAATTTCGTTAGGATGAGATCAATGGATCTCTAGTATGACGAGATCAAAGGAATTCTAACTTTATTGCGATGAGATCAGCGGATCTCTAACTTCATTACGATGATATCAACGGATCTCCGAGTAATTTGAGGTCTGGTCAAGTCTCAGGATGACCGAAAGTAGAAAATAAGTACGCCCGGGAATCGATGACCGACGATGGCGCTGAAGCCGATTGACTCTTATCTCTATTATTTGTTTCATTTGATACAAAATTCTCACACGTCCCGAAACTTTACACCGTTGTTACATCGAACAAATTTTTAATAAAAAAAAAAATAGCAACCGGTAAACTCAATCTAAGTATATTTGCAATTTATATTATTTTCAGTGAAGTCGTATGTAAACCAAATATGCATGATTTTTCAATAGAAAACTTTTTGTGAACTACTGAAGTCACTGCGGTCTATGTAGAACAGGAGATTAACTAAAAAACAATTCCTTTACTGAATCTGTCTGGTAATGATTTTCTGCAATATATGCCTCAATTCAAATCTGATTTTCGAGAGGAGCATTGTGGTTTGTAATAAATAAGTCAGTGCTTTTGGAAATCATTGTGTACTAGTTGGGAGTAATTTATTTAAAGCATATTGGCAAAAAATGAAAATACATATTCCTCACTTTCAATTTATTAATAGTTATGTGTGCATTACAAACTATTTTTTCAAGTTGGTTAGAGACTATGTCTTCACTGTGAAAACCTCTGAAATATTAAATTTAGTTGTAAGCATGTGGATGGGAAGATTATGACAACTCTGACTAGATAGGTTTTTCTGAACGTATTTTGCGTTAATTAACTGATACTAACAAAACAAACTTATTCATTTCAATTGACTCATTTATATTGTGAATTATACTCTCAGTTAATATATTATAAATTTTATTCCTGTGTAACATACATCAAAATTGAAATGTATGATGATATATAAGAATCCTTGCAGGCACTTTATTGATTTTAAATTTTACGTTTTTTCTTGGATGAGAACTTTATTATATTTGGTTTGCTTTGCGCAAGAGTGCAACTTATACAAGTACACATGATTAATATTTGCTTATCTGTCCAAACACAGATTTAGTAGAAAATATTTAGCAATGTCCAATGTTTGCAGTACTCTTATGTGCGTCATTTCTGTTATCTAGAAAGCACATCTGCAGCGATGAGTTGCTATGATGATACTGTAATTTGAAATTACATCAGTTTTTTTTTATAATAGACAAATAATTATTAGCAATACTATACTAAACTTGCAAGTAAAGAATCAGAAGAAGTTTGTATGACCAAGCAATCAGTTCATATCAGGTATACATAATACGTCAATTTCAGTACAGGTAGTGGTACTTGATTTTCATTTTCTTAAATATTTTACATTTTCTACCTAATCTTTTGTTGGAAATAATAATTGTCGATATCTGAGAACTGATTATGGAATTACTGCACTAAGCTTTCTCGTCACAATAAGACATAATCCATATAATCGTATTTCCACATGTTTTACAACAGATATCAGCAGTGTTTTTGAATTTTAATTACATTAGTCACTAATCTCTGAATATTTGCATTTTCAGTGGAAATCAAGATGGTGCGTCATGAGAAAACTGTCACCAGTTGCAGGTAATAACAGTTTTTTTATTGTTTATAAACATTATTTGTAACATCACATGGCATTTTTAATTATTTTTAAGTTTTTAGTCTACGGTTAATTTTTTTATGTTTACCTTTATGCAAAATTAAAACATCTAAAATAGTTTAAATATGAATATTTTAATATGGAATATTAACTCATTAAGGGATAACGCCGGATAGAGGTTGGAAAAAAGGTGATTTTCGGGAATTTTCAAGGAAAAAACGGTAGAAGATATAGTGTCAGGAACAAAAAGGCTTTATTGTTTTCAGGTAATACTGTGCATTTTTTCAAAGAATGTGGATTCAAAATGGCGGCTGTAAGTGATGCCAAGCAATTACACCTTTTTTCCAAAGGGCTGTAGGGCTGGAAAGGTTTCTCTCATTAACGAATGGTCTTGGAACAAAAAAAAACACAAACATTTTCTGATATTACATACCAAAAACTGGGGAACATCGTAGGGAAATTAGAAAATATTAGTAATTGTTGATTTTGTAAAAAAAGTAATTATCGAAAAAACGGAGAATTTTGCATTAAATTGTGACAATGACAATGAAAATTATTAATCAATCGAAAACCTCTACGATGTTCCCCAGTTATGTTATTGAGAAGCTCTGTACAAAATTTCAAGTCGATTCGTTGAAAACGCTTTTAAAGAGTTTGTTGCCATTCAGCATATTAAGAAATTCGTTATATTTAAGGCTGTCAGAGAGAGCCGCAATTCAATGACGTGCCAAGCGGGTCAACCGAGACATGTGTGAGCCGCCGCCTCAGAATGCTTTTCATGTTCACGTCACGTTAATATACTGTTGCTTGTTACACAATTTAATTTGTTACTTTTTAATAAATAATGCGTACGCCCATGTCATTTTCCTCATCCTCTTCTTTTCTGCTTTATTCGAGACTCAATGTGACATCTATAATAGCTAACTATCGCGCGCGTTATCACAAGTTACAATAAACACTCCAGCTCTCTGCAAGTGGTTGCGCTCTACCTCGAAAAAACTCTTGTTCCCGACTTTTCCCCTACCTTAATTTTTTCCTATATTTTTCACATAATAATGCATTGTTTAAACCATTTTTAAAACGGTTATTGATATCAACATAATTTTTGTACGATTCCAATGTTGAAAAATGAAGTTAATTTATTATTACCTTCAGAAATGGTTATTCTAACTTTAGCTTTATTAAAGATTCACTCTTAATTAGCTCAATCTATTTAACGAATTAAGCGACATAAATTTAAGTTATTAAGTAGTTAATTGTTAAAATAAACAAACCCTAATGAAGTATTGCGTGATAATTAGTGGCTAGACATTTCTTATTTGTAATTAAATGGAATTGGAACCAATCTTGATTTATAAGGAATCGTGCCTAACAGAATATTATAAATCTGTAATGATTAGGAACAATTAATAGATTCAGAGAGATAGATTCAGAACAAGGTGAACGAGTTTTAATTTTTATTAAATTTCTAAACTACTCAAACAAAGGTGAACCAAACAAAAAGCAAAGATGTCATTTTAGTTAAAAAAAAACAAAATGATTACCAATGAAAGCCTATTTAAATCGTTTTAACATCAGTTTTAACCGGACAAAGAAGACGCCCTTGTACGGCATTTTGATTAATTAATACCTTTTGTCAAATTCGGTGTACCCCAGTAAAATTTCTGGGGAAATTTCGATGCTAGTTCGTTCACCAAATGATTGATTGCTGAGTATGTTCGAAGTATAGACGATCGAGCATGTAACGATTCACGAAATTGATGGCTACACATTCTTTGTGCGAGGTTTTAATCTTCCTCTTGTATGTTTCGATATGGTCGATGAATCGTAAAAAATGTCAATGAAATGTCCATGGAATGAATATTGCGAATTTATTAATATACAATACGAGCGCTTCAAGGAAACGATCAAAGTATTTTATAGCATTGTTAATTTAGTGTTTTTGTTATATTAATTGTTATTTTACAGTCTATACCTTATGTGAGGCTCTATAACATATCATTTTAACCGAAGGCTTTTAATACTGATCATTCTCCATTTTCAAAGAATTCTTTCGGTTTATTTCCTTAGAGCTTACATTTATATATTGTCGAACTTTTTAACGTTAATTTTGAAGTCATATTTTGAATAGAAAGTTTGAACTATATTTAATTTCTTACTCGTATTCAGTTACTGATGTACCAGTAGATAAAAGTACAAGGCTCCCTCTTTCAAATGCTGTTGAGTTTGCTCAAAGATCTTTTTTTTCGTTGAGATATGTCGAAATTTCTAAGTTTATCAGTTTCTTAATATGCGAAAATCTACTAAGGACCCCTTAGACGTCAAACAGTTGATTGCAGTTCAGAATCTTCATACTCAGAAACCAGAATACATACGAACTTAAACTCACAAACTCCAAATCCACAAACCCACAAACCCCAAACCCACAATCCCTAAACCCACAAACCCCAATCCCACAAAACCCGAACCTACAAACTCCAAGCTTACAAACCCCAAGCCCACCAACTCCAAACCCACAAACCGTATGGGTATGAAGTTTCTGAATTGCAATCGACTGCTTGATGTCTAAGGGATCCTTAGTAGATTTTCGCATATTAAGAAACTGAGAAATTTAATAATTTCAACATGTGATATCTCAACGAAAAAAAAAAAAAAATTTGATCAAACTCAACGGCATTCGAAGGAGGGAGCCATTTACTTTTAGATTCAATGTATCAGTTTTTTGAAAAAGAATAGATGGCATTGCTACAAAACCTCAAATATGACGAAAAACAGTGTTTTTGCACTTTTAGGTTAGGATATCTCAAAAACCTGACGTGATAGATCAATTCTGTTGCCAGATTCAGATGCAGCGCACCTAAATCCTTCGGAAATATATACTCAAATTTCTGATTCCAAAAAAAAGCTAAATTTCGTTGGTCTGTGTAATTTATGGACCTGATTAACTAAAGCTTTTGATGCAGTGAATCACAAACTATTAGTTAAGAAATTACATAAATATGGTCTACAAGAGGAAAAGTAAATGATTGGATAGTGCCTTATCTAACTAATAGAACTCAAGCAGTTGAAGTGAATAATGTTAAATTTGATAAATTATATATTGCGTATTGGCGTACCACAAGGATCTGTACTCGGACCGTTTTTGTTTCTTTTTTATATAAATGATTTACCTTTTTTTGACAAAAATTATATTCGCAGACGATAATTCCTATTTATGTTGTGGAAAAATTTTTGAAAAACCAATATTGCACACTTACAGTTAGGAAAATTTAATAATTATTACTTCAAATCAAGTAGACACTAAATCTTTTAAAATCTGTTTTTATTGTTTTATCACCTAGAATTTGTTTATATGATCGTATTTATTTAGTAAAATTGGAAGGAAAATCAATAGAATAAGTTTGCAGTACACAATTTTTAGGTATATACAGGGTGCGCCATTTAACACTCCTACTGGCAATATCTCCGAAATTAAGAAATTTATTTTAGTTCCGGAAACTGGGGTTGTTAAGTCTCTCGAACAGCTTCAAATTGCAGTTAGAATTGTTAACGATTTTTTTTTTTTGATTCCTGGAACGTGGAAATGCGGACCATCTGAAAGATTTTCAATTTGACCAAGAACATAAGATCAATGGCAAATAAAAGGTCACCAATAAATTTGTCATTAAAGGTATTACTGATATTCCTTGCAACATTGTTCTCTACAGTTAAAATCCCGTCGATTTTTAAGAAAAAACAAATTAGCCCTTGCAATGACCTTCCAGATTTTGATTCAATATTCAGACGTAAAATTTTAGGCTCTATCGATTTGTAAAATAAAAAATAGGGGTTTCTATTTGGAATTTTTGAGTCGATCTTGATTTGATCTAAAAATTTCGAATCAGAGTCAAAGACAAGGTCACCGTTAAATTGGTTTTTTGAAGTCCTACAACTTATTTCTGAAAAATTTTTGATAGGATGATCACTTAGGTAGATATATGTATCAAGATCAATATAAAAGTTATATTCCAGTATGAAGCATTTATTATATGCATTTTTTTTACGAAAAACAGTACAACTTTCCTTTTGTTTTAAATTGTAAAGCTGGATTATTTTTTTATTAAAAATCGGATATAAAAGTGCACCCACCACTTATTACGTAATAAATAAAAGTTATTGTTTTTTAATCGTATCAACTTTTTATATTCCATAAAAAATCGTAAATTTAAAGATAATACCTTTCGAATAACACTTAATTTTAACGAATGATTAGTTACAGACCTATTTGCAAAAAAAAATGCGACCAAAAAAGGTACAGAACAATAAACTACTTCGCTAAAAAAACGTTTACCAATTACAATTGAATTTTTAATTAAAAATTAACTTATCGGTACAGATGACAGTAAACCAGCTACATTCAATTGTTTAATAGTTTTTTAATATACTTTTATCTAATTTTTTAAGTTACGTCTAAAATAATCGATATTGAAACTACGTTCGGACAGGTACTGCGTCGAATATATCTAACTCAACTGTTATGACCGTGAAATATAGCAAATCTTAAGCAAATAAAAAGTTTTTAACAAGCTTTATATAGGTGCAAGTTAGAGGAGTTGGCTTAAATAAACTTGGGGAGGTTGTAGCGATTAAAATTAAAGTAAATACCGCTCGGATGCCATAAAACTTTTCATCATACCTAAATAAACTACCAGTTCCATTAGGAACTTTGAACGTAACATACCCGTACATAAATAACTACCCTTTATAAGACATAAAAAAGTCCATAAATTTTAATGTTTTAACACCCAACAATTATAGACACTTCTCTGCAGCTTCTGGCTAACACCGAGGTAGGGTGACTTTTATTAGGTAGGTTCACTTTCCACTTCGATCTGTCAGACGGAGGAAATAAACCAGATCTTCTTTAATCTGGACCTATAAAAGTCTTTGTTTCATATTATTTGTTTTCGTGACAAAGTAAACCATGTTTAAATTAACTGATGAA